TTTATCTAGTCATTGGTCCAGTAACTGAATACAAAGATATCAAAAGTAATTGAGGTTGACATTATTTATGTACCTCAGTCTCGATGAGATAACAGATGACGAAAGGATTTGATTGCACGGTAACCATATCATTGATAGGTAGCTTTTTCGTTGAATCTGAATCTATCAGATGGCCACGATGCCTTGCTAGGGGTCAATCTTGGTCTATGTGTAGTGAGACTATTAATTGGTGTTAATCGCGATACTACTCACTGCTGATATGATGAGAAATCTATATGTCACACACTTAGAAGATAATTTAAGAATCGTTTTGTTCAAGGGGTATTTTCATCTTTTAGGACAAAAGAGTATTTTGGTAATCTCACTGTACAATTAAATTTGCTGAGGCTATTGTCTGTATTTAATTTAATGTTAAAATTAATTTAGTGAGATTATATTTAAATATATATACACATATATTTAAATGAATTATTATTATTAATTAAATGTTAATATAGTTTATAAATATATTAATTGATTTTAATTATAATAATAATTAATTAAATATAAAATACCATAACAAGGGTTTTTGGATACAAGGGTGGATTAAGGTTGGAGCTCATGCCTATTCCATATAAGAAAAGGGTTTTAACTCTAGCACTATATAAGTGCAAGTTGAGTTAAAAATATTCATTCATTATTCATTCAATCATTATTGAACAGAAAAATGGCAACCACCCTTTTACTCTCACTCTCTCACGTTTCCCTTTGTGTGAATCAAGGTTTTTTTTATTCAACTTGATTCTTGAAGCCACCCCTTTGTTCAAGCAAAACAAAGGTTGGTTCTTCTGATTGTCTTCGTGTGGATCATCATTCGTCCGGTTCTTCGTTGAATCTGTAGCGAAGCAAATTCAAAGACACTTGAAGGAGCCTCCAAACGTGCGTAAGATCTTTAATCCTTGAATGGATTGATATTATTTTGTGCAGAATTTTGATTTAACATGTAAACTATATAATCTATACCCGGATCTTGGCATAAAAGGGATCGATTTATCCTTTTGATTTTTGTTTTTTTGCTGCGTTGAGTAGATCGATTCCTAACATATGGGTCACACACGTTAAAAGCAGTTTAAGGAGAATAATGAAATGAAGGGTAATTTCGTCTTTTGGATGAAATGGGCATTTTGGTAATTTTGTTGTGCGATTAAATTCACTAGGGTCGCTGCCAACATTCAATATTTATATTGAAATTAATTTAGCAAAATTGTAATTATATTAATATTAATATAAAACATTAATATTAATATGGAATATATTTAATTAATTTAAATATATTTATAAAAATAATTATATATATATATAGGAATAGTAATATTCCTATTCCAAATGAGGGATATTTTATCCCTCACTATATAAAGAAAGGAATAGGAGATATTGTATAATTAACTCATTATTTTTCTCTCTACCAAAACCCTGGCTGCCGCCTCTTTGAAAGAGAAATATTTTCTCTCTCAATTTTGTGTTCTCTCTTAGGGCAAACAAATTATCTAACAATTGATTTGTTTATGATTCTCATCCTGCTTTTGTGTGAATACTATTTTGCTTAATTCTGCACTTGAATTGATTTGTGAATTGCAAATCAGAATCCTATTGAAGGAGCCACCAACGCAGGTATTAAACTAAACCTTGTATGTTTAATTAGGGTTTATAAAATAGGTTGTGTTATATCAATCCTGATCTTGGAATTGGGTTAATTGAATAAAAATTTTATATTTATTCCGCATTTATTCAATGAAAAACCTCAACACACTTTTTCTACAAGTACGACCTCCACTACTCATCCTTTTGTCTTAGTTCATCTTGACATTTGGGAACCGTATCATACTCCAAATCATGATGGATCTAGATTCTTTCTCACAATAGTTAATGATTTTTCCCAGGGAACATGAGTATTCCTTATGCAGTGTAAAACTCAAACCCTAACCCATATCTGTAATTTCTTATCCATGGTACAAACACAGTTTCGCACAACAATACAACGTATTAAAATCGATAATGCTCGTGACTTTTCTAATACTCAATGCTCCTCTTTATTCCTTCCCCTTAGAATTCTTCATGAGAGTTCTTGTACTTATACCCCACAACAAAACGGGATAGTAAAACGAAAACATCACCACTTGTTATAAGTGGCGTGAGCCCTCAAACACCAAGCCTAAATTCCCATATATTTTTGGCGAGAATGTGTGGTCACTGTTGCCTACCTAGTCAATTGTATGCCCACCCGGGTGCTTGGAGGAAAGACACCTCATAAATTTCTTTTTGGCAAGTCTCTTGATACCACTCATCTCCGTGTCTTTGGCTACCTTTGTTGCTCTGCTATTATTAGTTCTCATGACAAATTTGGCCCTTGGGGCTATTCGTTGTATATTTATGGGGTATCCCATGCTCTAGAAGGGTTATCGGCTATATGATCCAAATACCAGCAGATTCTTCATTTCTCAAGATGTTACTGTTAGGGCCAAAAATCGTCATTGGCCCAAATAGGAAAACGGGCCTGACAATGAAGAAGCCAAGCCCAATCCCGATCCGGATTTGTTCCATTTGGGACAAGATACAGCCAGCCCAAACTACCTGGGTACAAGTCTCCCAATCCCGGCCCATTTCCTAGGTCCATAGGCGAATCCAGGGCCCACGGCCCTCAGAATATTTTCCTATTCCCGAGCAATCCCCTATTCGAGGTCACCTTCCTGTTCAGAACACTTTCTTACTCGAAGTTGCTCTCCTAATCAGAATCACCTTCCTATCCGGACACTGGTAAGACAGCTTACCACGGCCCTAATTCTTCTAGGGTTTGCATCAGAGTCATATTAGGACTCATACTCCCACCAGGATTGGGAGACTAGACAGTCACTATATAAACAGAGGCCAACCCTCTCACAAAGGAGACATTACAATACACTTTCATACCCGAAGCTCCTACTTGAGGCTTCACATCACGGCCATAGTCACAGTCTCTGACTAAACTTCCGGTAACCTCTTTACTCTCTAGCCCTCACTGTATTAGCCTCTTTCAGCCTTGCTGACTTGAGCATTGGAGTGCCTACGGCGAACACTACCCTGATGTTCTTCGTCGCTTCACGCGTGTTTCTTTACATGTGCAGGTACAACAGATTGCTAGTGGCCTCAACCTCACGGGATCAATCCCTCCTTCCGTACCAGTAGATTTTTACGTCTACAGTTTGGCACCCACCGTGGGGCCTCTAGCAATCATCCGGCTTGACTAACCTTGCTATGTAGGGGAACTTTCCATGGCTGACAATTCTGACAATGCAAACCCCGGCCTCGAGGCCAAACTGGAGGCTTTGACCGCCCTCATGCAACAAAACTCGGACAAGGTAGCCGCACTGGAAGCTGAGAACACTGTCATCCGGATCGAAAACGCCTCCATCAGGGTTGAGAACCAGTCTCTAAAATAAAAGGTAAGCCAGTTTTATGACCTCGACCTTCTGCCTTCTCAGGTACCACCAAATCAGTTTTGCGTCTCGGTTCCATCTATGCAACCTCTCCAAACCCCAGAGCATGGGCCCGGAGCTTCAGATAAAAGGTAACGTCAACTGAATTCATTAGTGGGAGACGACTCGGTCCTGACTCAGGGAGGAAAAGATCTGCTGACAGAACCCCGCTCAACCGATCCATCACAACCTCGAGACCAAGATGCCCAAGCGGTAGAAAACCCGTTCCAACAAGACTCACCTATCCTTGCCATTCCACCTAACCTTTAGTCCATCCCTACACAAACACCATTCAGCTCGGCTCACCCTCGCGGGTTGAACGGCTGTCCAAACCTAAATATACCACTAGAATCCATCCATCATAGCAGGCCGAACGAATACCAAACAACCCCCCTGACTATCCATGTAGGACGAAACACCCGATCAGTTACAATGGGAGTCACCCCACCGGAGGGAATGAATGGCGATCTGGGCTACCAGGATTTACATGAAGGGGTGATCCACCAAGCTACACCAAGGGGAATGACTCAACAAAATATACCGAGTGCGAATGCAATGGCAGAACCGATCAAACGGGATGACCTAGTGGTATCCCCCTCTCCTATGGAATAGATACTGGCTAAGAGATTGGCTGATGTGGAGGCAGTAATGAGGCAAATACCAGGAATGCCGATCCCCACCAAGAAGAGCAGGCCTCACTACTATGCTGACTCGCCCTTTACGGATGTAATCACCCTAGCCGACATGCCCTACAAATTTACTATTCCCAGCATAAAGCCCTATGACAGCACAACCGACCCAGACGATCACATAGCCTCATATAAACAACGGATGTTCACTATCTCCATACCCCGCGCGTTGAGGGAAGCCTGTATGTGTAAGAGTTTTGGTTCAAGCTTAGCCGGCCCAGCACTTCAGTGATACACAAATCTCCCAAACGGTTCCATTGACTTATTTGCACAACTCACTGACACCTTCGTGAAGCAGTTCGCCAGCAGTAAGAAGCTCGAGAAATTGTCGGTCGATCTATACAGAGTATACCAGAAAATGGGAGAACCACTGAGAGAGTACGTCAGCAAATTCAACAAGGAGAAAATTTCTATTCCTGCTTGCAACCCCGAGACAGCTGTAGACGCATTCAGGAAAGGCCTCCTCCCGGCTGGGGAATTGTACAAAGAATTGACAAAGCTTGGTTGCACAACGATGGAAGACGCCCTAGCCAGAGCGGTGATACAAATAAGGTGGGAAGAAGATGAGATGAATCGAGTAATCCACGCCAGGTACGACCCGAGGAGGAATGATAGGAGGCCAGATGCCAGACCAACCAAAACCCGCTACCAACCCCCAGCGTATCATTTGAACAAAGTCAGGAAACCATATGACCGCCAGCCATAATACGACCGTCAGCCACCCAGAATAGATAACAGACAGATTGGACCAAGCCGATACAAGATATCAGACTACAACCTGAACGTTGAACCAGCCCAAGTGGTGGCGATCAAGAAAGGAATGGGATCCAGTGTTAGGTGGCCAGGCAAGCTCAACGCCGAAGCAAGAAGAGACACAACCAAGTGGTGTGAGTTTCACGGCGACCATGGACATAACACCCCAGATTGCATTGCCCTGCATTTGGAGGTTGCCGCACTATTGAAGAGGGAACATCTCCGAGATCTGCTGACCGATAAAGGAAAGCACACCATTAGCCAGAAAAGCAGTAAAGAAACTTCTCCACCCCCGCGAGAGCCCACACTAAAAGGCTTCTGCTCACTCATCTCGGGGGTCAGAAATCAGCGGGGTCAGTTATTCATCAGCCAAACGATACGGTAGGGCTAGCAGCCACCATGAGATACAGTCAATCCGCCCAGTTTCTCGGTCACACTCCCATCAGGTAATTCAGTTCGAAGACGACGAGCCGATCACCCAGGCCGCCCCTCATCATGATGCTCTAGTTGTCTCTCTCCAGATCGCAAATATTCTTGTGAAGAGGGTGTTCGTAGATGGAGGGTCATCAGCGAACATTTTGTTCCTTACAACAGTAAAAGCTATGGATTTGGAAGAAGAAAACATCAACAGAAGGCCGACCCTACTAGTTGGTTTTAGTTCTCAGCAGAAGTACACTATCGGAGAGATCGTCCTTCCTATCTATGCTAGTGGAGTAAATAGACAGACAGACTTCCTGGTGATAGACGCCCCTTCACCCTACAATGTCATCTTGGGCCGACCTTGGATCCACGACATGCGAGCAGTCTCATCCACTTTCCACCAAACAATCAGGTTTCCTTCCAAATGGGGAGTACGAGAAATCAAGGGCGACCCGAAAGCTTCCAAAGATTGTTACAAGAACGCCTTCAAGGGCAAGGATAACGCTTCATAACAACTATAGTCTCATCCAACCCTTCCGAGCGAGCCAAATCAACCATCAATGGAAGAGTTGGATGAAGTACAGATACACGTGGATGATCCTTAGAGAAAGACACAGATAGGTTCCCGCCTAGGGCCCGAAACAAGAGAAAAGCTGATAGAATTCCTCAGACAAAACGAAGATTGTTTCGCCTGGTCCCACGCCGACATGACGGGAATAAGTCCAGAGGCCATGCTCCACCATCTCAAAGTAGATCCAAATCACCAGCCAGTAAAGCAGAGGAGAAGGAAATTCGCACCAGAGCACAACCGAATCGTTAATGAGGAGGTTGAAAAGCTGTTGAGTAACGATATGATCAGAGAAGTCCACTACCCCAAATGGCTGGCAAATGTCATCGTGGTAAAGAAAAAGAACGAAAAATGGAGAGTTTGCATCGATTTCATGGACTTAAGCAAAGCATGCCCTAAAGATTCCTTCCCGCTCCCTCATATCGACATGATGGTTGATACAACTGCAGGCCACGAGCTTCTTAGTATCATAGATGCCTTCTCAGGTTACAACCAAATCTTGATGCACCCGGACGATCAAAAAAAGACAGCCTTCATCACAGAGAGGGGAATCTACTGCTACAAAGTGATGCCATTCGGTTTGAAGAACGCTGGGGCCACCTATCAACGGCTAGTTAACAGGATGTTTACCGAACACCTCGGGGATACTATAGAGGTTTACATCGATGACATGCTGGTTAAGTCCCTGATAGCCGACCAGCATCTCGACCACCTCAGCCAGGCGTTCGCTGTCCTAAGAAAATATAACATGATGTTGAATCCAGCCAAGTGTTAATTTGGCGTCTCATCAGGTAAATTCTTGGGCTACATGGTAACTTAGCGTGGGATAGAAGCCAACCCCGACCAGATCAGAGCGGTCCTCAGTATACCATCTCCAGCTTGCATAAAAGATGTCCAGCACCTGGCAAGACGGGTAGCCGCCTTAAGCCGATTCATCTCCAGATCCGCCGACAAGTGCCACCTTTTCTTCCATGCACTCAAGAAGTCCGACAAGTTCGAGTGGACCCCCTCCTGCGAAGAAGCCTTGCAACAGCTAAAAGAGTACCTGACCTCCCCTCTGCTCATTTCCAAACTGGTGGACGGGGAGAAACTTTACACCTATTTGGTAGTCTCAGAGACAGCAATCACAGCCGTGTTAGTTTGGGAGGAAGACGCGAAATAGCTACCGGTCTACTATGTCAGCAAGTCACTCATCGACGCAGAAACACGATACAGTCAACTGGAGAAATTGGCCCTCGCGCTCATTCATGCCTCCAGAAAACTTAGGCCGTACTTCCAGTGCCACCCAATAGTCGTCCTGACTTCCTTCCCACTCAAGAAGATACTACACAAACCGGAGCTATCAGGCCGACTCACACAGTGGACAGTAGAGCTTAGTGAGTTCGACATATCATACCAGCCTCGCACCGCCATCAAGTCCCAAGCATTGGCAGACTTCATTGCTGATTTCACCCTGAGCACCACTATTTGAGCAAAGGAAGAGATATTATGCATGGGCGACGGGTCACCCTCCAAGTGGACTCTTTCAGTGGATGGATCAAGTAACGTGAATGAAAGTGGACTCGGCTTAATACTGACTACACCAGAGGGAGACGTCATCCAGCAGGAAATATGGTACGGGTTCAAGTGCACAAACAACAAAGCCGAATATGAGGCTCTCATCGCTGGACTCTCCCTAACCAAAGAGATCAGGGCGAAGGGACTGGAAGTGAAGTCCGACTCCCAGCTCGTGGTCAACCAGTTGCAAGGTACTTACCAGGCGCGCGACTCGAAGATGATGACATACTTGAACCTGGTCAAAGAACTGCAGTTCCAATTCGAAGAGTTCTCCATCGCCCAGATCCCAAGAGCGGAGAACTCTCACGCTGATGCCCTTGCCAACCTCGGCTCAACACTCTAATGTTCTTACCAGTCATCCATCCCCCTTTTGTTCCTGCAATGGCCAACCAATTGGAAGGAGCAACCACCAAACAAGTCGATGGAAGAAACAATGGATATTGAACTAGCCGACTGTTGGATGACCCCGATAATGAAGTACTTAGAGCACAACGAACTCTCAGCTGACAAGAGCGAGGCACGCCAACTAAGAGCAAGAGCTGCAAGATTCACCATCTATGAGGGCCAACTCCTCCGGAAATCATTCTCCGGTCCCTATCTCAAGTGCACAAGCCCAAAGGAAGCCAAACGTGTTCTCGCCGAACTCCATGAAGGCGAATGTGGAAACCATGCTGGGGGACGCAGCCTTGCACACCGGGTGATCACCGCTGGGTACTACTGGCCAACCATACGCACTGATTCAGCTGCTTATGTTAGGAAATGAGACAGTTGTCAGAGATTTGCTCATGTCTCGCACCTCCTACCCGAGCGACTCCACTCTATCATCACACCTTGGCCCTTCATGAAGTGGGGAATGAATATAGTCGGGAAACTATCGACTGCACCCGGACAACGAGTCTTCATGTCTACTGTGACAGATTACTTCACCAAGTGGATTGAAGCCAAAGCTTTTGCACAAGTCAGGGATAGAGAGGTAAAAGCTTTTATATGGAAACATGTCATCTGCAGGTTCGGGATACCAAAGGAAATCGTCACCGATAATGGATCCCAGTTTATTAGCTCAGGCTTCAGGGATTTCTACGACATGTGGGGGATCAAGCTTAGCTTCTCCACCCCCCAAAACCCCCAGTCCAACGGCCAGGCCGAGTCATCAAATAAAACCATCATGCAGACCTTGAAAAATTGATTGCAAAAAGCGAAGGGTGCATGGGCAGAAGAACTACAAGGAGTCTTTTGGTCCTACTGCATTACAGCTCGCTCATCAACAGGCGAAACCCCTTTCTCCCTCATGTACGGTTCTGAAGTGGTCATCCCGACCAAAGTATCAGTGCCGTCCACCAGGCTCCAATGGGCGGATGAAGAAATCAATAGCCAAAACCTCTGCCAGAACTTGGACACCGTCGATGAACTCCGCGAGTGGGCCAGCATTCGCAATGCTATCTACCAGCAGCAGACCGCCCGGCACTACAACCGCAGCGTCAGGATCATAACTTTCAAGACTGGCAATTGGGTCTTCCGCAAGGTCTTTCAAAACACTAAAGAGATCAATTCTGTCAAACTCAGGCCCACTTGGGAGGGTCCCTACAAGATAATCAAAGAAACGGGGAAGGGTGCTTACCGACTCCAGACCTCGGAAGGCAAAGACATCAACAACAGTTGGAATGCAGTCCACCTCAAACGTTACTACTTTTAGGTGAACTCACTCGTTTAAAAGTTTGTTTCTTTTCGTTTTTATTTTTAAAGGGATGAGTGGGCCTATCCACCTCCTCCCAAACAGTCGGCCTTACGGCTCGAACTTAATAAAGTATTATTCAGAGATTCACACCTTCGAATCGACCCCGCTCGATCAAATTATTCGTATACCTTCAGATTGACCCTACTCAATCCACGAAATTACACCTTCGGATCGACCCTGCTCGATCCATGGAATTACACCTTCAGATTAACCCTACTCAATCTATGAAATTACGCCTTCGAATCGACCCTGCTCGATCCATGGAATTACACCTTCGGATGGACCCTGCTCAATCCACGGAATTACACCTTCGAATCGACCCTGCTCAATCCACGGAATCGCACCTTCAGATCGACCCTGCTCAATCCATGAAATTACACCTTCGGATCGACCCTGCTTGATCCACGGAATTACACCTTCGGATTGACCCTGCTCAATCCACGGAATTACACCTTCGGATCGACCCCGCTCGATCCACGGAATTACACCTTCGGATCGACCCTGCTCGATCCATGGAATTACACCTTCGGATGGACCCTGTTCCATCCACGGAATTACACCTTCGAATCGACCCTGCTCAATCCACGGAATCACACCTTCGGATCGACCCTACTCGATCCACGAAATCACACCTTCGGATCGACCCTGCTCGATCCACGGAATTACACCTTCGGATCGACCCTGCTCGATCCACGGAATTACACCTTTGGATCGATCCCGCTCGATCCACGGAATTACACCTTTCGATCAACCCCGCTCGATCCACGGAATTACATCTTCGGATCGACCTCGCTCGATCCATGGAATTACTCCTTCGGATCGACGCCGCTCGATCTATGGAATTACACCTTCGGATCGACGTCGCTCGATCCACGGAATTACACCTTCGGATCAACCCTGCTCAATCCACGAAATTACACCTTCGGATTGACCTTCCTCAATCCATGGAATCACACCTTTGGATTGACCCTACTCGATCCACGTTATCACCCCCTCAGATCGGCCCCGCCCGATCCACGAATTTACACCTTCGAATCGCTCCTGCTCGACCCATGAAGTCATACCTTCGAATCGGCCTGCCCGATCCACGTATGTACATCACGACCGGCTTTGACCGGTTCATAAAGCTACCCAACCAGACAGCCAGACCAAATGAAGAATTCTTACTAGGACACTAAAAATCAATAAATCATTAACCCAGCGTAGCAGAGAGTATGCAATACAACCACTGGGCCCTACCAAAGTCACAGCACAACATAAGAGTACTACCCCTAGTACATCTATGAGCAAAGAAGCAATCAACAACGCATTCACCCATCAAGAAATCATCAAAAACAGAACAGCGGGTTTTTTAACATATAAACAGCCTCAACAGGCTTAGTTTAGAAGTACAAATAAAAGGCACACACGCCAAGAGAGGGCATCGCAGGCCCCAAAATACATAAGTGAACAGAAATAAAGCTAAGTGTCGTCGATGCGAGTCATCTCTCCCATCTCCGACTAGGTCACCCCGTCACCAGCAGTGCCTGTCCCTGCAGCCTGGTCGTCCACACCCCCAATGACCAATGGTCCTGGCTGACTAGCAAAATCGAGCATCTGCTCATCAATCTGCTCCTCCGTATGCTCAGCCCCCTCATTCAACACCTCCTGCA